AGGGAGTGAGCGCCGCTGGCAACACCACCGCTGGTATAGAGGGAGTGAACGCTACTGGTATAGAGGAAGTGAGCGCCGCTGGTCACCACCGCTGGTATAGAGGGAGTGAACGCTGCTGGTATAGAGGGAGTGAGCGCTGCTGGCAACACCACCGCTGGTATAGAGGGAGTGAGCGCTGCTGGCAACACCACCGCTGGTATAGATCGAGTGAGCGCCGCTGGCAACACCACCGCTGATATAGAGGGAGTGAGCGCCGCTGGCAACACCACCACTGGTATAGAGTGAGTGAGCGCTGCTGGCAACTCCACTGCTGGTACAGAGGGATTGAGCGCCGCTGGCAACACCACCGCTGTTATAGAGGGAGTTAGCGCCGCTGGCAACTCCACCGCTGGTATAGAGGGAGTGAGTGCCGCTGGCAACACCACTACTGGTATAGAGGGAGTGAACGCTGCTGGTATAGAGGGAGTGAACGCTGCTGGTATAGAGGGAGTTAACGATGCTGGTATAGAGGGAGTGAGCGCCACTGGCAACTCCACCACTGGTATTGAGGGAGTGAGCGCCGCTGGCAAAACCACCGCTGGTATAGAGGGAGTCAGAGCCGCTAGTAATACCACCTCTGGTATAGAGGGAGTGTGCGCCGCTGGCAACACCTCCGCTGGTATAGGGAAAGTGAGCGGCGCTGGCAAACTCCATCGCTGGTATAGAGGGAGTGAGCGCTGCTGGCAACACTACTGCTGGTATAAAGGAAGTGAGCGCCACTGGTATAGAGGGTGTGAATGCCGCTGGCGACACCGACTCTGGTATTGAGGGAGTGAGCGTTGCTGGCAACACTCTCGCTGGCAACACTGCTGCTGTCAACAGCACCTCTGGTATAGAGGGAGTGAGCGCCGCTGGTATAGAGGGAGTGAGCGCCGCTGGCAACACCACCGCTGGTATAGAGGGAGTGAACGGTGCTGGTATAGAGGGAGTGAGCGCCGCTGGCAACACCACCGCTGGCAACATCGCTCTGGTATAGAAGGATTGAGCGACGCTGGCAGCACGAACGCTGGTATAGAGGGAGTGAGCGCCGCTGGCAACAGCACCGCTGATATAGAGGGAGTGAGCGCCGCTGGCAACAGCACCGCTGATATAGAGGGAGTGAGCGCTGCTGGCAACACCACCGGTGATATAGAGGGAGTGAGCGCCGCTGGAAACACCACCGCTGTTATAGAGGGAGTGATCGCCGCTGGCAACACCACCGCTGGTATAGAGGGAGTGAGCGCTGCTGGCAACAATACCGCTGGTATAGAGGGAGTGAGCGCCGCTGGCAACAATACCGCTTTTATAGAGGGAGTGAGCGCCGCTGGCAACACCACCGCTGGTATAGAGGGAGTGAGCGCCGTTGGAAACAATACCGCTTTTATAGAGGGAGTGAGCGCCGCTGGCAACACCACCGCTGGTATAGAGGGAGTGAGCGCTGCTGGCAACAATACCGCTGGTATAGAGGGAGTGAGCACCGCTGGCAACAATACCGCTTTTATAGAGGGAGTGAGCGCCGCTGGCAAAACCACCGCTGGTATAGAGGGAGTGAGCGCCGTTGGAAACAATACCGCTTTTATAGAGGGAGTGAGCGCAGCTGGCAACACCACCGCTGGTATAGAGGGAGTGAGCGCCGCTGGCAACAATACCGCTTTTATAGAGGGAGTGAGCGCCGCTGGCACCACTACCACTGGTATAGAGGGAGTGAGCGCCGCTGGCAACACCACCGCTGGTATAGAGGGAGTGAGCGCCGCTGTCAACACTACTGCTGGTATAAAGGGACTGAGCGCCGATCGCATAGAGGGTGTGAGCGCCTCTTGCAACACTGACTCTGGTATTGAGGGAGTGAGCACCACTGCCAACACCACCGCTGGAATAGAGGGAGTGAGCGCTGCTGGCCACTCCACCGCTGGTATAGAGGGAGTGAGCGCCGCTGGCAACACCACCGCTGGTATAGAGGGAGTGAACGCTGCTGGTATAGAGGGAGTGAGCGCCGCTGGCAACACCACCGCTGGTATAGATGGAGAGAACGCTACTGGTATAGAGGAAGTGAGTCCCGCTGGTCACCACCGCTGGTATAGAGGGAGTGAACGCTGCTGGTATAGAGGGAGTGAGCGCTGCTGGCAACACCACCGCTGGTATAGTGGGAATGAGTGCTGCTGGCAACACCACCGCTGGTATAGATCGAGTGAGCGCCGCTGGCAACACCACCGCTGATATAGAGGGAGTGAGCGCCGCTGGCAGCACCACCACTGGTATAGAGTGAGTGAGCGCTGCTGGCAACTCCACTGCTGGTACAGAGGGCTTGAGCGCCGCTGGCAACACCACCGCTGGTATTGAGGGAGTGAGCGCTGCTGGTATGGAGGGAGTTAACGATGCTGGTGTAGAGGGAGTGAGCGCCACTGGCAACTCCACCACTGGTATTGAGGGAGTGAGCGCCGCTGGCAACACCACCACTGGTATAGAGTGAGTGAGCGCTGCTGGCAACTCCACTGCTGGTACAGAGGGATTGAGCGCCGCTGGCAACACCACCGCTGTTATAGAGGGAGTTAGCGCCGCTGGCAACTCCACCGCTGGTATAGAGGGAGTGAGTGCCGCTGGCAACACCACTACTGGTATAGAGGGAGTGAACGCTGCTGGTATACAGGGAGTGAACGCTGCTGGTATAGAGGGAGTTAACGATGCTGGTATAGAGGGAGTGAGCGCCACTGGCAACTCCACCACTGTTATTGAGGGACGTAGCGCCGCTGGCAAAACCACCGCTGGTATAGAGGGAGTCAGAGCCGCTAGCAATACCACCTCTGGTATAGAGGGAGTGAGCGCCGCTGGCAACACCTAAGCTGGTATAGGGAAAGTGAGCGGCGCTGGCTACTCCATCGCTGGTATAGAGGGAGTGAGCGCTGCTGGCAACACTACTGCTGGTATAAAGGGAGTGAGCGCCACTGGTATAGAGGGTGTGAGTGCCGCTGGCGACACCGACTCTGGTATTGAGGGAGTGAGCGCTGCTGGCAACACTCTCGCTGGCAACACTGCTGCTGTCAACAGCACCTCTGGTATAGAGGGAGTGAGCGCCGCTGGCAACACCACCGCTGGTATAGAGGGAGTGAACGCTGCTGGTATAGATGGAGTGAGCGTCGCTGGCAACACCACCGCTTGTATAGAGGGAGCGAACGCTGCTGGTATAGAGGGAGCGAACGCTGCTGGTATAGAGGGAGCGAACGCTGCTGGTATAGAGGGAGCGAACGCTGCTGGTATAGAGGGAGCGAACGCTGCTGGTATAGAGGGAGTGAGCGTCGCTGGCAACACCACCGCTGGTATAGAGGGAGTGAACGCTGCTGGTATAGAGGGAGTAAGCGTCACTGGCAGCACCAACGCTGGTATAGAGGTAGTGAGGGTCGCTGGCAACACCGCCCTGGTATAGAAGGATTGAGCGCCGCTGGCAGCACGAACGCTGGTATAGAGGGCTTGAACGACGCTGGCAACACCACCGCTGGTATAGAGGGAGTGAGCACCGCTGGCAACACCACCGCGGGTATAGAGGGAGTGAGAGCCGTTGGCAACACCGCCGCTGGCAACAGCTCCGCTGATATAGAGGGAGTGAGTGCCGCTGGTGTCACGAATCTTACTAAGATTCTGCCATTCCTCTTGATTCACATATTACTTTATTGTCTTGTTCTCTAATTAATATTGCATCTAATTGTATGATATAGGATTTTTAATGTTATATATATATATATATATTATAGCATGCTGTAGTGTGCCTGAGTTATTTTGGTGTTAGATTTCGTATGTAGTTTCTCCGTGTGGCCATATTTGCATATGGCCAGTGTGGGAACATTGTTGTCAATCGAGTGTCTATAGTTTTACCTTTATTTATTTCCATATTTGGTTGGCGTATTATTGTATGGAATGTTGTACCAGTGTTTACTACTTTTTAGTTTGACAATATTTTTAATATTAGTGCTGCATTTTGTTATTAGAATATCCACAATGTTTGTGTGGACGGTTAGGTGATTTCTTGGTAGACGTTTAGTGACGTTTGGCCTGCTGACCAAAGCGTGGGCAGTAGCGTGGCGGCTGTTGTCGAGAGGAGTTGTGTTTTAAGCTAAGTCATTGGTCACTGTTATTTTAGCCCATATAAATGTTAATTATCTGGTTAGATGATTTGAGTATTACTGTTGATTAATCCATGTTCTGGTGATATTGCTCATGTCTCAATAATTAATTTCATTCTATGATATTGAATGTTGAAGAATATTTCTGGCTATTATTTATACATTTAATTGTTGTTATGTTTGTCCCCCTTAGCATAAATATATTGTTCTCCATTTTATGCAGTGATGTAATTATACCCCTAGACATCTGTTGGCATGGCCGATTTATTATCATTTCTTTACACTGCGGGGAGAAGAACCTTATTTAGTCTCAAGGGTGGTGACAACTGGCAACACCACCGCTGGTATAGAGGGAGTGAGCGCTGTTGGAAACACCGCCGCTTGTATAGAGAGTGTGAGCGCCGCTGGCAACACCACCACTGGTATAAAGGAAGTGAGCGCTGCTGGTATAGAGGGAGTGAGCGCCGCTGGTATAGAGGGAGTGAGCGCCGCTGGCAACACTGCCGCTGGTATAGAGGGAATGAGCGCCGCTGGCACCACTACCGCTGGTACAGAGGGAGTGAGCGTTGCTGGCCACTCCACCGCTGGTATAGAGGGAGTGAGTGCCGCTGGCAACACCACCACTGGTATAGAGGGAGTCAGCGCCGCTGGCAACACCACCTCTGGCATAGAGGGAGTGAGCGCCGCTGGCAACACCTCCGCTGGTATAGGGGAAGTGAGCGGCGCTGGCAACTCCATCGCTGGTATAGAGGGAGTGAGCGCTGCTAGCAACACTACTGCTGGTATAAAGGGAGTGAGCGCCGCTGGCAACACCACCGCTGGTATAGAGTGAGCGCTGCTGGCAACACCACCGCTGGAATAGAGAGAATGAGCGCTGCTGGCAACACCACCGCTGGACTAGAGGGAGTGAACGCTGCTGGTATAGAGGGAGTCAACGCTGCTAGTATAGAGGGAGTGAGCGCCGCTGGCAACTCCACCGCTGGTACAGAGGGATTGAGCGCCGCTGGCAACTCCACCGCTGGTACAGAGGGATTGAGCGCCGCTGGCAAAACCACCGCTGGTATAGAGGGAGTCAGAGCCGCAGAAAACACCACCGCTGGTATAGAAGGAGTGAGCGCTGCTGGCAACACTGCCGCTGGCAACACTGCTACTGTCAACAGCACCGCTGGTATAGAGGGAGTGAACGCTGCTGGTATAGAGGGACTGAGCGCCTTTGGCAACACCGCCGCTGGCAACACCACCGCTGGTATTGAGGTAGTTAACGCTGCTGGTATAGAGGGACTGAGCGCCTTTGGCAACAGCGCCGCTGGCAACACCACCGCTGGTATAGAGGGAGTGAGCGCCGCTGGTATAGAGGGAGTGAGCGCCGCTGTTATAGAGGGAGTGAGCGCCGCTGGTATAGAGGGAGTGAGGGCCGCTGGCAACACCACTGCTGGTGTAGAGGGAGTGAGCGCCGCTGGCAACACCGCCGCTGGCAACACCACCGCTGGTATAGAGGGAGTGAGCGCCACTGTCAACACCGCCGCTGGTGTAGAGGGAGTGAGCGCCGCCGGCAACACCGCCGCTGGTATTGAGGGAGTGAGCGCCGCCGGCAACACCGCCGCTGGTATTGAGGGAGTGAGCGCCGCCGGCAACACCGCCGCTGGTATAGAGGGAGTGAGCGCCGCCGGCAACACCGCCACTGGCAACACCGCTACTGGCAACACCACCGCTGGTATAGAGGGAGTGAGGGCCGCAGGCAACACCTCCGCTGGTATAGAGGAAGTGAGCGCCACTGTCAACACCGCCGCTGGTGTAGAGGGAGTGAGCGCCGCCGGCAACACCACCGCAAGTATAGAGGGAGTGAGCGCCACTGTCAACACCGCCGCTGGTATTGAGGGAGTGAGCGCCGCCGGCAACACCGCCGCTGGTATAGAGGGAGTGAGCGCCGCCGGCAACACCGCCGCTGGTATAGAGGGAGTGAGCGCCGCTGGCAACACCGCCGCTGGTATTGAGGGAGTGAGCGCCGTCGGCAACACCGCCGCTGGTATTGAGGGAGTGAGCGCCACTGTCAACACCGCCGCTGGTATAGAGGGAGTGAGCGCCGCCGGCAACACCGCCGCTGGTATAGAGGGAGTGAGCGCCGCCGGCAACACCACCGCTGGTATAGAGGGAGTGAGCGCCGCCGGCAACACCGCCGCTGGTATAGAGGGAGTGAGCGCCGCCGGCAACACCACCGCTGGTATAGAGGGAGTGAGCGCCGCCGGCAACACCGCCGCTGGTATAGAGGGAGTGAGCGCCGCTGGCAACACCGCCACTGGCAACACCGCCCCTGGTAATCAACACAGCGTCCCGGGTCGATAATATCTTTTTGCGCGGCGGCGGCGGCGGCGGTCCCTCACTCTCCTCCACACCACAGTGGCCAAATGGTTACTCCCCTGGTGGAGGACACTGTTGTAACTTGTCGTCGCACAGACATGCACGCCGTGCTGCAGGACCCTGTGGTGGTGGTAGTGTGGGAGGGGGTGATTATTGTGGTGGTGGTGGGGGGGGGGGGTGTTGGTGTTGGTGGTGATGGTGGTGGTTATAGTGGTGGTGGGGGGGCGGGCTGATGGTGTTGGTGATAGTGTTGGTGGTGGTGGGGGGGTTGTGGTGTTGGTGATAATACTCACCTATTTGTACTCACTTATTTCTGCTTGCGGGGGTGTACCTTTGGCTCTATGGTCCCGCCTCTCAACTCTCAATCAACTGGTGTACAGATTCCTGAGCTTACTGGGCTCTATTATATCTACTTATGAAACTGTGTATGGAGTCAGCCTCCACTTCATCACGTCCTAGTGCATTCCATTAACTAACTACACTGATACTGAAAAAAATCTTTCTAATGTCTCTGTGGCTCAGTTGGGTACTAAGTTTCCACCTGTGTTCCCTTGTTCGTGTCCCACCTGTGCTGAAGCTGAACCTCAGGGACGTGAGGTTCAGCTTCCTTAGTCTTTCCTCGTAGCTCATGCCTCTCAGTTCCAGGCCAAGTCTGGTGGCATACCGCTGAATCTTCTCTAACTTTGTTTTGTGTTTAACTTGATATGGACTCCAGGCAGGAGCTGCATACTCTAGGATTGGTCTGACATAAATGGTATACAGGGTCCTGAACGATTCCTTACACAAGTTTCTAAAGGCAGTTCTTATGTTGGCCAACCTAGCATATGACGCTGATGATATCCTTTTGATGTGGGCCTCTGGGGACAGGTTCGGTGTTATATCAACCCCCAGATCATTCTCTCTATTTGACTCTTGCAGGATTTCCCCTCCCAGATTGTACCTTGTGTTCAGCCTTCTGCTCCCTTCGCGTAATTTCATTACTTTACATTTTCCTGAGTTGAACTTTAGCAGCCATTTTCTAGACCATTCCTCCAGTTTGTCCAGGTCATCCTGTAGTCTCTGTCTATCTTCATCTGTCTTGATTCTTCCCATAATTTTTGCATCATCAGCAAACATTGAGAGGAATGAATCTATACCCTCTGGAAGATCATTTACATATATTAGAAACAGAATGGGTCCAAGTACAGAGCCCTGTGGGACTCCGCTGATGGCATCTCGCCACTCTGATGTCTCCCACCCTCACCGTTACTCGCTGTTTCCTGTTGCCTTGATACACCCTTATCCACTGGAGCACCTTACCCTTTACTCCTGCCTGTTGCTCCAGTGGTGGTATTGGTGGTGTTGGTGATTGTGGTGGTGGTGGTGATGGTGGTGGGGGGGTTGGCCGGTGGTATTGGTGATTGTGGAGGTGGTGGTTGTGGTGTTGGGGGGGTTGGCTGGTGGTGTTGGTGATAGTGGTAGTGGTTGTGGTGGGGGGGGGGGGGGCGGTGGTGTTGGTGATTGTGGAGGTGGTGGTGAGGGGGGTTTGGTGGTGGTGTTGATGATAGTGGTGGTGATGGTGGTGGGGGTGGGGGGGACTGATGGTGGTGGTGGTTTGGGGGGGCTGATGGTGGTGATGGTGGTGGGGGTTGGGGGTTGGTGGTGTTGGTGATAGTGGTGGTGGTGGGGAGGGCTGGTGGTGATGGTGATATTGGTAGTGATAGTGGTGGGGGGTAGTGGTGGTGTTGATGATTGTGGTGGTGGTGGTAAAGGGGGTTTGCTGGTGGTGTTGGTGATAGTGGTGGTGGCGGTGGTGGTTTCGGTGGTGGTGGTAGTGGGGAGGGGCTGGTGGTGATGGTGATAGTGGTGGTGGTGGTGGTGGTGGTGGTGGTAGTGGGGAGGGGCTGGAGGTGATGGTGATAGTGGTGGTGGTGGTAGTGGTGGTGGTGGTGGTGGTTGGGGGAGGGTGGGCTGGTGGTGTTGGTGATAGTGGTGGTGGTGGTGGTGGTGGTAGTGGTGGTGGTGGTGGTGGTTGGGGGAGAGTGGGCTGGTGGTGTTGGTGATAGTGGTGGTGGTGGTGGTGGTGGTGGTAGTGGTGGTGGTGGTGGTGGTTGGGGGAGGGTGGGCTGGTGGTGTTGGTGGTAGTGGTAGTTGGGGGGCTGGTGGTTGTTGGAAATAATCCAACATTAATTATTATTGTATGCTAAGCAAAGCTTTTATTAACACTATTAACTTGTAGAACTAATTGAAATTAATAATTTGCCTACTGCATATCATTTGCCAGATTCTTCCTACTTGGCATGGTGGTATTGCGTCAGATTAATTTCGCAGAGGTATAAATACTATCTACATGATAGAGATTAAATAATATTCTCACTTTCTGTCAGTATTCTTTCTAAGAATAATTAACTGACAATTAACCACTAGTGATCTAATAACAAATTGTTATCAGCTAAAAGATCACTACATAACAGTTTATCTGTTATATTAAATCAACATGGAGGAATAAAAAATTTTCCTTCATTTCTCGTCTAATAAGAACTCTGTTTGTATCAATTATTACTAGACGAGAATATATATAAAATCAAACTCCCTATAATTGCAACCCTAGTTTTATTGTCTCATTCAATTGAGTAATTATGTAATTATAAAGGAAAAGAATTTTCCATTTCTATTGAAACATGTTCACGCATGCGTGACCGAGACGGGGTTGAGGGAGGGAGGAGGTGAGCATTACTCTACTCTTGCTCTGGAGACCTGAGAGGAACGCCATAGAACACATGAATGGCCGTTGCAGTTAATTGGCCTGGAGTACGTCAGTGAGCGGACCACAACAATATTTGTGCCTGCTGTTACTCCACCAGCGATCCCAGGATCACATCGGCGAACACCTATACGGTTAAGTGGTATATCTTGCTGTTCTGAGCTCTTTACATTAATTTTTACCCTTGTTCGTCGTTATGTCGCATTCCCTCCTCTAAACACTAAGTACATCCCCAGTGAACTAAATTTACTCCATTTATTGTCTAATAATGGAATATTCAGCAGAGTGTAAACAATTTCTACACTGTACTGGGTTTACAGCATATGTTGAGGCCGTCTGAGGAGAGATCAACTCCCCCGCCACGCTTGTCTTACGCATGTTCAAGCAGTAGACGACGCCACCCCACAATCGCGATACTGTTCACTGTCACAGCTAAAAGGTTGAATTCTTTCTAGTTTATTTACTAACCTCCTAAATGCAATTGAGATATAATAATATCTCATCATTATAATCATTTATGTATGCCATATATATTTTGTGCATTATTTTTTTATAACTTTACTAATATATTTGATAGGAATAATTATCTTATCTTATGATAATTACTTCATTATTCAATCACTGATTAATTCTTGTTCTACCAAGATTGATTAATTTAAATTTATTTAATTTTGATTCACAACACCAGCAGCAACACCAACAACACCAGCAGCAACACCAGCAGCAACACCAACAACACCAGCAGCAACACCAGACACTCCAGCAGCAACACCAGCACACTCCACCAACAACACCAGACACTCAACACAACACCAGACACTCCAGCAGCAACACCAGACACTCCAGCAACACCAGACACACCAGCAGCAACACCAGACACTCCAGCAACACCAGACACTCCAGCAGCAACACCAGACACTCCAGCAACACCAGACACTCCAGCCACCAACACCAGACACTCAGCAGCAACACCAGACACTCCAGCAGCAACACCAGACACTCCAGCAGCAACACCAGACACTCCAGCAGCAACATCAGACACTCCAGCAGCAACACCAGACACTCCAGCAGCAACACCAGACACTCCAGCAACACCAGACACTCCAGCAGCAACACCAGACACTCCAGCAACACCAGACAACAACAGCAACACCAGACACTCCAGCAGCAACACCAGACACTCCAGCAGCAACACCAGACACCAGCAGCAACACCAGACACTCCAGCAACAACACCAGACACTCCAGCAGCAACACCAGACACTCCAGCAACACCAGACACTCCAGCAACAACCAGACACTCCAGCAACAACACCAGACACTCCAGCAGCAACACCAGACACTCCAGCAGCAACACCAGACACCTAGCACAACACCAGCAGCAACACCAGACACTCCAGCAGCAACACCAGACACTCCAGCAGCAACACCAGACACTCCAGCAACACACCAGACACTCCAGCAGCAACACCAGACACTCCAGCAGCAACACCAGACACTCCAGCAGCAACACCAGACACTCCAGCAGCAACACCAGACACTCCAGCAGCAACACCAGACTCTCCAGCAGCAACACCAGACACTCCAGCATCAACACCAGACACTCCAGCAGCAACACCAGACACTCCAGCAGCAACACCAGACACTCCAGCAACACCAGACACTCCAGCAGCAACACCAGACACTCCAGCAGCAACACCAGACACTCCAGCAACAACACCAGACACTCCAGCAACACCAGACACTCCAACAACACCAGACACTCCAGCAACAACACCAGACACTCCACAGCAACACCAGACACTCCAGCAGCAACACCAGACACTCCAGCAGCAACAACAGACACAGACACTCCAGCAGCAACACCAGACACTCCAGCAGCAACACTCCAGCAACACCAACAACACCAGACACTCCAGCAACACCAGACACTCCAGCAACACCAGACACTCCAGCAACAACACCAGACACTCCAGCAACAACACCAGACACTCCAGCAACACC